GGTAAGAGTTCTGATTTTAAAATCAGGGCCGCCCCATCAGTCCCAGGCTCCATCCTCGGAGTTCAATGGTGATTAGAGTTCTGATTTTCAATCCAGGGGGTCCCATCAGTCCCAGGCTCCATCCTCGGAGTTCAAGGGTGATAAGAGTTCTCATTTTCAATCCAGGGGGTCCCATCAGTCCCAGCTCCTTCCTCGGAGGTCAATGGTGATAAGAGTTCTGATTTTAAAATCAGGGGTGTTCAAGGGTGATAAGACTTCTGGTTTTAAAGACAGGACCGCCCTATCAGTCCGAGGCTCCATCCTCGGAGTTCAAGGGTGGTAAGAGTTCTGATTTTAAACTCAGGGGCGCCCCATCAGTTCGAGGCTCCATCCTCGGAGTTCAAGGGTGGTAAGAGTTCTCATTTTTCATCCAGGGGCGCCCCATCAGTCCCAGGCTCCATCCTCGGAGTTCAATGGTGATAAGAGTTCTGATATTGAAATCAGGGGCGCCCCATCAGTCCGAGGCTCCATCCTCGGAGTTCAAGGGTGATAAGACTTCTGGTTTTAAAGTCAGGACCGCCCCATCAGTCCGAGGCTCCATCCCCGGAGGTCAAGGGTGGTGAGAGTTCTGATTTTAAAATCAGGGGCACCCCATCAGTCCAAGGCTCCATCCTCGGAGTTCAAAGGCGATAAGACTTCTGATATTGAAATCAGGGACGCCCCATCATGCCAGGGCTTCATCCTCGGAGTTCAAGGGTGATTAGAGCTTTGATTTTAAAATCAGGGGCGCCCCATCAGTCCGAGGCTCCATCCTCGGAGTTCAAGGGTGATAAGAGTTCTCATTTTCAACCCAGGGGGTCCCATCAGTCCCAGGCTCCATCCTCGGAGGTCAATGGTGATAAGAGTTCTGATTTTCAGGGGTGTTCAAGGGTGATAAGACTTCTGGTTCTAAAGGCAGGACCGCCCTATCAGTCCGAGGCTCCATCCTCGGAGTTCAAGGGTGGTAAGAGTTCTGTTTTTTCAAAATCAAGGGCGCCCCGTCAGTCCAAGGCTCCATCCTCGGAGTTCAAGGGGTGGTGAGAGTTTTGATTTTAAAATCAGAGGCGCCGTATCAGTCCAAGGCTCCATCCTCGGAGTTCAAGGGTGGTAAGAGTTCTGATTTTAAAATCAGGGGCGCCCCATCAGTCCAAGGCTCCACAAGCTGCGCAGTTGGCGCAAGCGGCGCAGCCGGCGTCGGCGCACCGGCGCATCCATGTGGTGGGTCGGCGCACCGGCGCACCGGTACATCGGCGCATCCGTGTTCCAGCGGCGCAACGGCGCACTGGCTGGCGCATCGGCGCAACCGAGTTGCATGCGATGCACCGACGCACCGCGCAACTGTGAGGTGCTGCACCCATTGCCCCCACGCTCCATATACATATATATATATATACATGTACACATATACATGTACATACATGTACACATGTAAACATATAAATATATAAACATACATACAAACATACTTATATACACATACATATAAAGGAAAATACATGCATGTACACATATAAACATAAATACACATGCTCTAAGCATCCTGGCATCATCAGCAAAAGAACAGGAACGAAAGCGAGGCGTTCGAAACTTCATACCAGCTTGACAAGCCCGATGCCAGTGCACAAGGACACCAGGGCACAAGGGCACAAGGACACCAGGGCACAAGGGCACAAGGGCACAAGGGCACAAGGGCACAGGGCACAAGGGCACAAGGGCACAGGGGCACAAGGGCACACGGGCACAAGGGCGCAAGGGCACAAGGGCACAAGGGCACAAGGGCACAAGGGCCCGGGAACAGGAGAGGACCGATTGTACATGCATATATTTTCCTTTATATGTATGTGTATATAAGTATGTTTGTATGTATGTTTATATATTTATATGTTTACATGTGTACATGTATGTACATGTATATGTGTACATATATATATATATATATGTATATGGAGCGTGGGGGCAATGGGTGCAGCACCTCACAGTTGCGCGGTGCGTCGGTGCACCGCATGCAACTCGGTTGCGCCGATGCGCCAGCCAGTTCGCCGTTGCGCCGCTGGAACAGTAAAATCAGGGGCACCCCATCAGTCCAAGGCTCCATCCTCGGAGTTCAAAGGCGATAAGACTTCTGATATTGAAATCCGGGACGCCCCATCATGCCAGGGCTTCATCCTCGGAGTTCAAGGGTGATTAGAGTTTTTATTTTCAAGCCAGGGGCGCTCCATCAGTCCCAGGCTCCATCCTCGGAGTTCAAGGGTGATAAGAGTTCTCATTTTCAACCCAGGGGGTCCCATCAGTCCCAGGCTCCATCCTCGGAGGTCAATGGTGCTAAGAGCTCTGATTTTAAAATCAGGGGTGTTCAAGGGTGATAAACTTCTGGTTTCTAAAGGCCCCCCCCAACAAAAAAATGAGGGACAGGCCCTATCAAGTCCGAGCTCCTCCTCGAGTTCATGGTGGTACAGTTCGGTTTTTTTCAAATCAGGGCGCCCCGTCCGTCCAACGTCTTCCATCTCGGAGTTCAAGGGGTGGGTGAGAGTTTTGTGATTTAAAATCAGGTGCGCCGTATAATCCAAGGCTCCATCCTCGGAGGTTTAAGGATTCAAGGTGTGGTAAAGTTCCGATTTAAAACTCCGGGGCGCCCCATCAGTCCAGCTCCACAAGCTGCGCAGTTGGCGCAAGCGGCGCAGCCGGCGTCGGCGCACCGGCGCATCCATGGGTCGGCGCACCGGCGCACCGGTACATCGGCGCATCCGTGTTCCTGGCGCATCGGTGCAACCGAGTTGCATGCGGTGCACCGACGCACCGCGCAACTGTGAGGTGCTGCACCCATTGCCCCCACGCTCCATATATACATATATATATATATATATACATGTACACATATACCTCACCTCATCTACCATCAACAACACACCACACTGTCAACCCTTCCAAACATATAATCACAAACCCTAAACATACATACAAACATACTTATATACACATACATATAAAGGTAAATATATATAAACATAAATACACATGCTCTAAGCATCCTGGCATCATCAGCAAAAGAACAGGAACGAAAGCGAGGCGTTCGAAACTTCATACCAGCTTGACAAGCCCGATGCCAGTGCACAAGGACACCAGGGCACAAGGGCACAAGGACACCAGGGCACAAGGGCACAAGGGCACAAGGGCACAAGGGCACAGGGCACAAGGGCACAAGGGCACAAGGGCACAAGGGCACAAGGGCACAAGGGCGCAAGGGCAAAAGGGCACAAGGGCACAAGGGCACAAGGGCCCGGGAACAGGAGAGGACCGAAGCCCTCGGGCCGGCGTCGGCGCACCGGCGCATCCATGGGTCGGCGCACCGGCGCACCGGTACATCGGCGCATCCGTGTTCCTGGCGCATCGGTGCAACCGAGTTGCATGCGGTGCACCGACGCACCGCGCAACTGTGAGGTGCTGCACCCATTGCCCCCACGCTCCATATATACATATATATATATATATACATGTACACATATACATGTACATACATGTACACATGTAAACATATAAATATATAAACATACATACAAACATACTTATATACACATACATATAAAGGTAAATATATGCATGTACACATATAAACATAAATCCACATGCTCTAAGCATCCTGGCATCATCAGCAAAAGAACAGGAACGAAAGCGAGGCGCTCGAAACTTCATACCAGCTTGACAAGCCCGATGCCAGTGCACAAGGACACCAGGGCACAAGGGCACAAGGACACCAGGGCACAAGGGCACAAGGGCACAGGGCACAAGGGCACAAGGGCACAAGGGCACAAGGGCACAAGGGCACAAGGGCGCAAGGGCAAAAGGGCACACAAGAGCGCAAGGGCACAAGAGCGCGAATGCACATAGACATATATACAAATATACAAGTATACATATACACATGTATACATTTCTACATATGTACACATATACATATAACACGTATAAAACATACATATGTATGTACATATACAAAAGTACAGATGTACATATATACATCTATACATACCTAGACCCTCAAGAACCCAATAAATTGTCAGTTATAATTTCAGAACCCGGTTATGATAGGTATGTCATATAAAAACCCGGTTGTTCTTGTAAGAACCTGGTTCTCCTCTTAAACCCATGAAATTGCTTCTGTAGATGCCTTAGAATACGATTGTATTAACCATTGCTACCACATCTAGTGCTCTTGCTGCTGCTGTTGCTACTTATCGTGCTGGTTCCGAACGATATGACCACCATTATGTCTGTATATACAGACGCTATCCTCGGATTATCCGTCTTATATATGCTGTATCTTCCTGCAACCACAGTCCGTTCAATAGGCCCACCAGCATATTCCTCCAGAACTCGGCTCCTGTATTCAAGGTATGAAGATTTCATTACACTCCGATCGTGTATGTAGATTTAATTGTCTCAACAGAAACACAACTCCAGAACCACAACCGGCCAAGAGACGACTGCCTGGCTTCGTTCGCCGGTGTTCATCAAGGCAGCAGGGTTGTAAGGGTCTTTAAATATAAGGGCAAATATACCTGGATAGCTGGGTCGGGTCTGTGAAAATATCGGTTTATGGTTCAATATACGTCGAGGTACACCGCACAGCAGCGCGGAATTCACATTTATGTAGTGGTTTAAGAACTTTTGTTCTGGCTCGTTCGTATATTAAATATATAGAACAATGTTCTATCTAAGATCCCCTTAATCCCGTATAGGACTTCTTACTGATGTAATATAGAAGCTTGGAAGCACAGCTTTGCAACAGCCGTGAGCAAAGCATGCAGCCCTTTTGTCACTGCGACAAATGGCAGAATGGTCGAGAGCTCATCTTTTGTCCTGCCAGTTGGGGGCAGAATGCTTGGCTTTTGTGGCGAGATGTATTTCTGATTATGTATGATCTCAAGGATTTTGTGCCTGCAGCTTGTTAGGCTATAGGGTTCGGGGTTTTGCCATCGATTGCCATGGCCAATTGTTCGCTCGAAGGGCTTGCTTCCCAATGGGATCAGGACGAAGCTTTGCGGGAAGATCTACGACAGGGCAAACCTTTGATAGCCGAGGTATCTGAGAAACAGGTGGATATTCACATGCCTTCGAGGTACAATCGTTTGCTGCTTCCAGTTTTGCACCGCATGCGCGATGCTTCAAAGAAGCTACCCGGGATCGATGAACTTCGGCATGAGATTCGAAAGGTGTTGAAAATGAACAAGCGTGATCCCACGGACGAGGAGGTGGATAGGTTCGGATGGCTGATTCGGAAGAATCTGGGCTTCATTAAGATGAAGTGTCGACGCCAAGAAGTTTCGAATGCTGCCTAGCCAAATATCTTTATATGTTTCGTGATTTTGGAACAAACGATTGTTGCAACTTACAACATAGTACCTTCGGACATGAAATGAAATCCCTGGTTCTATCTTCAGGTTCCTGATTTCCAGCAGTTGTGCCTGGCCCTGGACCCCGACTTGCAGGACTGATTGATTCCAGGGGTGGGGGTTATGCGACGATTCGGATATGTTGATTACCTGTTGACAATATGTAGCCTTCTCGTTCCGAGGGCATCGTGGATCAGATCAACGAATCCCTGGCACGGCGCCGTGCCAGAGCAGAGACTGCTCAGGACTCGATCCAGTATATATGCTTGATCGATGAGTATTTGTCATTGTGGGGTTTTACTTGTCGGGGCTAAAGAATTTGTATGGTATTCTGTGCATGGCAGGAGACTAGTGACGACGAGGATGCCTACGACGATGACGGAGACGACGGAGCGGATGATGACCAGCCCGATGAGGCTGGTGGCTGCGGTTTGTCCCACCATTTGAATGACTTCATGGCGGCTGTGGGAGAATCGGCTCCGGAAGCCAGTGCGGCTGAGGGAGAATCGGCTCCAGCAGCCGATGGTGATGCCCCCATTATCGATGCTGATGCGTATGAAGGGCCAATCGAGAACGCTGTCCCCGATCCAATCGACACTTCGACGGCTGATCCCTCGATTCCCTCGCTCGACTCTTCGACGACTGATCCCTCACTCGACTCTTCCACGACTGATCCCTCACCCGGCTCTTCGACGGTGACGACTGATCCCTCACTCGGCTCTTCCACGACTGATCCCTCACTCGGCTCTTCGACGGTGACGACTGATCCCTCACTCGGCTCTTCGACCACTCGGAAGACTACGTTCGTGCCAGAGAATCCAGGCGCGGGTAAAAGACGGAGTTTGCTCGTTTACTTATGCTCATGGGGCCTTGTTCGGACCCTTTGTTTCGCTGAGTGATCTGTATATATGATTAATCGCAGCTGAGGTGAGCAAGAGCTGCGACAGCAGCGCAGGCAGCAGATCATGGAACGGCTGGAGATGTTTCTCGTTTATAGTTTAAGTCGATCGACATATCAAATTAAAAGTATATATTGCTGTATATAAGCTGCGGGTTTTTGTGATACGACTCCTGATGAGGCTACGTATGAAACGGGAGAAGATCACTCAAGCCGCTGCGCTTGCTCCCACCGCAGTGCCGACACAGTCAGGTAGGACCCATATAAAACATGATACGTGCCACCTCTGTAGACTAGCCCATCGCTCCTCTTCAGTTTGAGTGGCCATGCATGATTGAAAACAGGTCCTCTCGATGGCGTGGAGACACAGCCTGTTGCCATTGAAGATGTGCCGACCCCACCTTCATCGGTCAAGCCCAGGGATGATAGCCCAGATCCTTCCTCTGCGGCTCGCAGGGCGGAGTATCAGAGCAAGGTCCTTCGCAAGTCCCCCACGTTGCCGTACCATCCCTACTCGCCCGAAGTGTTGGACAGCAAGGCTACCAGCTCCAGGGACGGAGCCCCGGCTTTCACGCCGGAGAAGGATTGGGTGTAGAAATCATGCATGTCTTTTGTTTTTAGTAGGTGATAGGTACATGCATAAAGTCATGTATTCCGTATTCCCCAACCACATTCATTGCAGGCTGATGCAGGGGAAGCTCCGGCCACGAGGGTCCATCAGTTGCAGATGAAGCAGAAGAACAAAGCAGAGGATGGTCGCGGAACCCGCGGCCGTGGCGGTCGTGGTGGTGGTCGCGGCCGCGCCGGTCGCGGCCGTGGCGGTCGCGGTCGTGGCGCGGCCGTCGATGCCGATGATGAGGAGCCTGAGCCTGAATACACCCAGGCAGAGTGGGATGAGTGGATGGCTGATTGGTATGAGAAGGAAGAGGGCTCGCATTTCGGTGGAAGCGCTGCGGTTCCGAATGAGAAGCCCGGGCGAAAGAAGACCAAGACTGCCGAGACCGAGGAGAACGAGAAGCCCCGTGGAAAGAAGACCAAGACCGCCGAGACCGAGGAGAACGAGAAGCCCCGTGGAAAGAAAACCAAGACGGCCGAGACCGAGGAGAACGAGAAGCCCCAGCGTAAGAAGACCAAGACCGCCGAGACCGAGGAGAACGAGACCGAGGAGAACGAGAAGCCCCGTGGAAAGAAAACCAAGACAGCCGAGACCGAGGAGAAGGAGAAGCCCCGCGGAAAGAAAACCAAGACCGCCGAGACCGACGAGAACGAGAAGCCCCGTGGAAAGAAAACCAAGACCGCCGAGACCGACGAGAACGAGAAGCCCCGTGGAAAGAAAACCAAGACCGCCGAGACCGACGAGAACGAGAAGCCAAGTGGAAAGAAAACCAAGACCGACGAGGTCGAGGATAAGTCCGTGCCAGCACAGCCCAAGACCTCTCCCAAAAAGGGGCAGGCGGCTGACAAGGAAAAGGTGAAGCCTGGCCGAAAGTCCAGGGGCGAGGACGATGACGAGGAAAGCGAGAAAGCTACGTTCGCGAGGCGCTACCGAGGGAAAGAGGGTGGTTTCGCAGCCGCGAAGTTTGATGCGATCAAGGATTGCTTCCAGCGGAAGGTGATGCCCCAACTTTCGGGACCCGTCACTATCTACGAGGATTGGGTTCCAGGTGAAATATATAACATAAATATGTATAACGACATTTCTAGGTATTATATGGGTCTTTTTCGATTGTTCAAGTATCCTTGTCTCTTTCGGCACGAACTCACAAATGTAGTCTCTGATTCTTCAAAGGACCCCTTCTGGACGTATTGTGTCAAGTTGATGAAAGAGATGCCTGTCGACATCGACCGGGACAACATCGTCAGCATTGTGAACAAGTGTGGCATGAAGTATGTCAGACAAGTCATCCAGCCAAACAAGCCCTGAAGTTCATTTCAACGGCAAAGCCGTTCCACAGTTTGCTTTGATCAAGATCATGACGCACTGCTGTGCACGAGCTTTCTGAAGCTTAGGTGTGCTGATTGTCGTTGGGATGCAAGTTGATGATCAGCTTGCGGGGTGACAAAACCACCAGCCTAGAAAGGCCTTGTGCTTAGTGGAGTGGTGCAGTCTAGGTTTCGGGCGACTCTAGCCTATCGGAAGGCGATACTCAACCCGTATAACCCTATATCGTGTGTATGGGCCTTAAATATTTTTTCGGAACCCTATATAAACCCTAAACCCATTAAACCCCTAAACCCCAAACTTGGCGCTAAACCGTCTTACCTCTATATCAACCCATACAACCGAATCAAACGGAAAATGTATCACCTTAAACTATATAGATCCGAACTGATCCAGGGTAGTAAGGCTATAGTACGGCTCCTATATAGGCTATTGTCAATCGAAGCCTGCACTCGGTTCCAAGCTTGATCACCTGAGAAGGCCTGCTGTGTTGTCTTCATGTTGTGCAATGCACACCTGATTTAAAATCCTTCTTATATAGAGATAATGCTAGCACTACCGTGGCCTACAACTTCTTGCGATGTGCCTTCTATAGAGGGCCGAACACTGGTGCCGTTCGTCCGACTCCAAATCCGAACAGGTGCCGCGAGAACAAAAAAGCAGCACTCGATAACATGATCTGCCCAACTTTTGATTCAGGCAACCTAGCACATTGAGACTTTGCTTGCTTCACGGTGCACGCACTCGAACTGCTGCATGCTGTCCTCGCCCCACCGCTTCTGCCCATGCCCAGGTCAAGACCAGATCGCAGCCTGCTCGCGGCAACAAGTGGAAGGTCAGGCTCACCCTCCGTTCCAAGAAATGTAATCCCAGCCACGTTTGATTGTTCCAGCGGGTGTGCATAAGTCTGAAAAGTCTGCGTTCGGCTGTTGCTGACGAATGTGAGATATCCGTTGGTCGAGGATCAAGGTTTGGGGAGACGGTACATAGGTCCTGTGCAGGCACCAGTCTGTAAACTTTGAGTCGTTATCAATATGAGCTACCATTTCGCAGTGCCGTGATGCATTCTTCTTGTAAGTGGCTTTCGCTCTGCCGCAACAATGGTAAACCTTGATCGGCTTTTGTATGCACTCAAGCGCCTCGACGTTCCAAAAGAGCCTTGGCTTAACATAATATATTTGTGCTATCTAGATACTCTGTATGTCAAGACTAGCCTACTTGGGCCCAGGAGTTCGTTCTATGCTTGCTGCTCCTGGTGTTCAGCTACACGGATGAGCAACTGATCCAGGCTGGGAAAGCCTAGACCCGTGCTGCTGTTTGAATATAGCACTATGTGCATTGTCATTGCGTTCCAGGATTATGATTTCTTGGAGTTTTATGCTGGTCGAGCTCGGACAACACTCGCGATGCGAAACAAATCCTTCAAATCTGGACGGTTCGACAAGAAGTACAATCAACGTCACCCAGGACACCGCTCCAACTTTATGGATATTAACGATCCTTCCGGCTTCCTGCATCTCGGTAGAAGATCTCGTGCAGGATATACGTAGATAGAGGCGACATATCCAATCGAAGACCCTGCCCGTGTCTAACCTCCTGAGGCTCGCGTGCTACTTCATCCTCCGTGGCTGCCCAGACAACTTCTTCGCTATGTTTGCAGTAATGTGTTCTTCTTTCACCAAGATGAATGCTGGAACATCCAAACGAAGCAAGTGCAGCAGCATGGGTTTCGATGCCTTCCCTTCAGTTAGTTACAGCAACAAGTTGCTGGAGAGGAGAGGGACGAATTATGTAGCACGACACATACCCACGTATATCCTATAAAACCTTAAACCCGAAAACCCTGATCCTTAAACCCTTGATTCCCCAAAAAACACAGGCCCAGTTCCTCAAGGATATCTAAAAAAACCGCCCGGGCAGGAGTGTCCTCCTGATCTATCTCGTCACGGCGCTCGGAGGCACATGGTTCCTCGAACAGCCGAGTCAGTCGGTTCTCGAATACTATCCGACTTTTCGGAAGATGCTTCTTGATCTTTTCAATGTTCAGGGAGGAGATGCTGCAGCTCGGTTGCCACTGTTCAAATTGCAGGTAGGCTTACGTGCCGAGTGTGAGAGACAGGGGAGAGAGAGAGAGATTGACAGACAAATAGAAGTGGCTAGTTCGCGACAAGTGTCAAGATAGTCGGCAAGGTATTTGACACGAGATGGTGGATGTGTCAATACGGCGCGCCGACTCCAAAGCGACACTATGCCTACTCCAACAGTGACAAGATATATCTGTTGAACCAGGGCAAGCTGTACGTGAAGTGTGGACAAAGGTCTCAAACAGTATCTCGAAAGAGAAATGCCGAGGGAAAGCAGTGCTATACAGGGGCCAAACACCTACGTCCAACGGAGTGCCCCGGTTGCTGTTCTTGCCAGGTTTGGAATTTCGGGCTAGGGTTTTCAGGACATGCGGGAGTTATGGGCTTCTATATAGGTCCTATATAGGTCCCAAGCCGTGATAGAGGGTCCTCATAAGTCCTGACTTAGCATATGTCTGTGAGATATCGGCACCTGTTTACATTCTATACAGATGGACCCTCTATAGAGGTCCTTGCACATATATATTTCTATATTGGACTATTGGGTGGTATGTAAACCCTAAGCCCTATACCCCTATAAGCACATATATGCGTTATATCGTTCTACCGACGTGTTCCAAAGTACCAACTCAAGGGTATATACAGTCTCTATATGTAAACACAGAATCACTGTGTAAGGCCTCCAAATTCGGGTGAGTTAAAATAACAAACCTATATAAACCCTACACCCTAAACCCCTAAACCCTACAAATATATAGGGGAGGACTGCTTAGGTCGGGGCTTTCAGGTCAGAAGGTTTCACATCTTCGAACACACATAAGACCCCCATCCCGAGCATATCCTCGTTGTTTTGACATATGTGATGCCCCTATATTACTATACAAGCCTGAAACTGAAACACTCGATCGATTCTGAAAGCACAACCCCGAGATCGTCACCTAGACCGGACCATCTACATAAGGCTTTGTGCTTGGGATTTGGGAGGCCTGGGCTTTTCAATAGGAATGGAAGATCGTATCAATCGTGTATATAGTAGTAATCTATGGCTTATCTTAAAGGAGCAGGGTACCTAACCGAGGTTGGTTCCCCCTGTTGTACTATAATGATTGTAATATCTATATAGACCTCTATGTTCGGCCTGTCAATCTCCCCAACAGATTCACACAAATGGCTCTTGTATAGTTCTCCCACGTAGACCAGACGGTACCTATACCATATAGGAAAGCACCAGGCTAGCCAGAGGGAGCTTATTGGTTGCAAGGCCGTACGAGAAGCGGCTATATATGTAGATGCAGACTGAACTAATGGATTGGCGCAAAACAGACAATTGGTGATTCTATACGGAAACAATCAATGGGCACCCTCTCTCGATCCCTATATAATTACACACATCCTTGCCAATCCCCTTATCTACTTTTGGAAGCCCGGACCCTGCCGAGGGAGTATCCGCCACGGTTCGCATGCTTCCTGGCGCACCATTGCCAGCTCCTGAAGGCCACGGCACATGGACAGCCGGAGGTGCCAGAGGTGCTACCGAGTGCTGTAGAGACATTTGTGTCGATGCAGTATGGTAGCCAGGATGACATGTTTTCCTTTGCGGCTCTACAGGAGGTGTTTGTTTATGTACGAGGTGGCAAAAGGCTTGTGGTTCCACCTGAGTGGAAAGACCTGGTGCCTCGTAGTTTTCCCGGGACGGTTTAGTCGATTGCAGCTGGGGCTAGAGTCGTCACCGTGCTCCCGAAAGTAAACATCAACTGGGTTTTGCTCGTAAAGTCCTGAGACCCTCTAGACCCCAGGGCAATTGGCGATGTAGCTGCCCTTTGGTTTGAGGGAACTCAAGAATTGTGCTTCGATCCAGGATGATTATGGGATCTTGAAGTATAGCTCTGAAGCACTTTTAAGCATTTTAGTAGCCCCCAAGTTGATTTTGAAGTGGTTTTATGGTATGCAACCCAGGCTTACCCGTATTAAACCCGTATTTACCCGTATAAAACCCATATATTACCCGTACGCAGCCCGTATAAAACCCATATATGCTGGTACCCCATTTACAACCTACTTTTCCCAACCCGTATTTAACCCGTATTAAACCCATATTTAAAGCGTATAAACCCATATTTAAAATATGGGTTGCTAGCTTCCGCTAGGATACCCCCAAAGTCAGCTTCTGAAGCACAACTGGAGGCCTCAAGTACAGGTACAATTCGATAAGATCGTGTGCGACTGCGCGCACAGCCGTTCAGCACTGCACGAAAATCCGATTTGTCATCAACTCTGAAGGATGCTTTGCTTGGTTGTGTGGATGCTTCTACCTTCCGACAACCCCAAACACACTTTTCGCAGGTCCTCCAGTGCCAGGTAATCGCAGGTCAGCTCCTATAGTGCCGGGGCCATGGAGGTAGCTTCGAAACAATGGAGCACGGCGACTCTAGATGCCGGGGTGTGCTTTGTGGAGACGGATGCAAACTTGTCGAAGCTAGACGACGAGCAAGCCCAACTCGAGCGAGAGCTCCAGGAGACACTCTAGCAGTCGTATGTATCGATCACTTCATATACACAAGCCAGATAATCTAGATTACAAAATACCAAATCTAGCCCGGAGCGAGGAACTGGAAGCTCTGGAGTCCACGAACTTGGCCGAGCAGAATCATGCCCCTTGGTCAATAGCCTGCTTCTAGAAAGCGACAATGATATTCAATTGGATTGTGTCTACCGATCTGTGTAGGAGCTGTCTTCTACAGAATCAGGTGCCGGATGGGTCCAAGGCGATCTCTGAAGCTGACACGCTTCCTGTCGCGAGGATTGAATACAGTCCTGCAATATATTTCTAGATAACCTCCGCACTCAACTCCTCGTTTGCTTCAGTTATGAGCAATGCATCCCTTGCCCAGGCAACCGCCGAAGATCTACGATGTGCTGGGCTGCCTTCAGCCACCGAAGAGGAGCCCATCGATGTCGATGTTGCCTGGCTGCATGTATTCCTAATTCTCAGATCGAGCTGCATTGGTTCATTCTGAACCCGATCGAGGGTACCATCTCGTTGAATCTCAGGACATTCCTGAGGAAGAGATGCTGAGCTATTTCAGAAATGTGCGTCTGACGGTTGTGAAAGCCGAGCCCCTCGGGGATACTCCTGAAAAGAGCCTGGCCTCCCAGCCCAAGTCTACAGCGCCGCCTGAGCAGCCCCAGCAACCGACCGAAGTGCGTCGTCCTATCGCGACCCCAGCGAGAACACCTGCTACACCCGTCCCGGTCAAGATCGAAAGCAAGCTCAAGCTCACCAAGGAACATACGCGCCAGGACAGACAAGAAAGTCTAGTTCAGTTGTATATTACAGACCAATACGTAGACCGGCTGTCCCAGGCAGATATACACTCATTATACAGATACAATCTATAAGTTATATATAGTGCAACGATTTGGTATGTGTGTATATTGTGTTGATATTGACAGGCATTACAAATTCGTACGTTTCTTTTTGCAATTCTATCGACCAGTCTTGCTTTCGGATAGGGTTTAGGGTTTAGGGTTTAGGGTTTAGGGTATAGTCGACACCCAATATCCTATTGGAGACCTATATAGATATATACATGTTCCTACCTTCACTTACTTATAGCCTTATATCTAACTGAATTGAAATAACGGCACCACTTTCGTGTGCACTGGAACTAGACACCCCCACCTTACCTATGCATCGATCCGTATCTTTAAAACTTACCGAAACTTCGAACTATGTTGACCCTCAGCCTCCACATCTGCTTTGGAGGAGAAGCTGCTCCTGGCGGCCAGATCCCGGTTGAACCGTATGATGAAAGTCCACAAGAAGAAGAAGGAGTTGGAGGCTCCCGAGTATGCTAGAAAACACTGGGAGGGCAACAAGAACGAGATGACTCTGTTGCTTCGCGACTGCAACTTCTCCAAGGACCTAGGGGTGCCAGCGACCCCCATGATTGGATTTCTTGATCCCCCCAACTCAATGGTTCATGCCGCTAAACAATCCATGGGTGTGAGGACATGTTCCTGGAGAAGCTCGAACGCATAGTGAAGAAAAAAGAGAAGTACACCTTAAAGGTCGACGAGGGCTGGTACAGTGCATCAGAGATGAAGACGGAACTTGGATGGTCCCAGTCACGCCCTGAACTATCCGGCTCGTGGTGACACAATGCATGTGTATAGCTGATAAGAAGATACAAGCGGCACTGTATAATTATGACATGCCGGCCTCAGGACCAGAATCGATGGGGCAATCCGCGCATGCAAGGCCATGGGCGAGTCCCACTGCCGGCCTGGGCCCAGGATGGGGCAAGGAGTCCTTCTTGTCGCTCAAAGTAAACACTGCAAGAACTGTGTTATCCCGACTTACAGAAACCAAGGAAGAACTGCTACGACGAGGTGGAGGAATTCTGGGTGCGGATCAGGGAAACCGGGGCTAGGAAGGAGACCCTGTCTGTGGAAGAACGACAGAGTAGCCTTGGCAAGGCTTCCAAGTTGAAATGATGTTTCGTAGATTGACGCATATATGTGTTGCAGCAGAAATAACTGTCGGCATCTATAGTTTTCATGCTGCGTTCGCTCTTGACTTAGGCTGATCAACCTCTGTCAATTTCGGGCGACTCGTTCAAGGGTGTGGAAGCTTACAAGAACAGCCAGAATGACACGAAGAAGCAGATTGCGGCCAGTTCGCAGAGCTCCAAGGTCCGTCTTTCTATATGACATCTTACCCCTGTGAGCTAGTGTGGATAATTTGTTGTTGTGTGTGCACAGTATCTGATGCAGGCCGCCAGCGTATTGAAGAAATTCCTTGAGGACCTCCTCGCTAAGATTGGTAAAATTCGTGGCCTCACCAAAGACCTCTCCAAAAACTACGAGGATGCTGATACGCAGAAGCTACAAATCTGAATGGGATGTGATTGACAAACCCAGCAAAACCCATTTGTATGAAGTTCGTAAACCCGGCCTTACCCTATAAACCCTAAACCCCGAAACCCCCATAGTTAAGAACCCACTCTTAATTATATATAGTTTTTGCAAGTCTCAGCCCAAAGCCGAAGCTGCCCACGAACGCAAAGGCACATCAAGGTCCTGAACGATTTTGTGGAGAAGATGGAAGCCGAGCACGAAAGGAGCCAGGTGGTTTACAGCGAGGGCGAGGTGAGTGGCTTCGATGCGTCGTACCTAGCCTTAACCTGGTAACGATATTCAAAGTTGGTTTGTGCCTGTCCTAGCAAAGGTTCAATGCAAAGGCTGAACAGCAGATGAAGACGGCCACCTTCGTGTACGGTTCTCAGCTCTTACGCATAACTTATGGTTTTGCGCTTCGCTACATCCAAACCCGTTAATCTACATACGTTTGAGGTGCAGCAAAGCGGTTGCTGCCGAGACGAGAATCCGGACCGATGTTTCGTGTTGGTTGAGCTCTTTGCTGGGTTGGGGATTCCGGGTTAAGGCTCCTGAGTTCGAAGCATAATCTGGTCGCACCCCACACGATCATCTACGAAGCCCAAAAGGCCTATATACATATCAAACATAGCCCCATATATACATACAATACAAAACCTGAATTACAGCCGAATCTTGCAGGACTGCCAGGTGTACGCCGTAAACCCTATAAACCCTAAACCCTATAACCCTATATATGTATCAACTAACTAAACCCGAATCTCGCAGGAATGCCAAGAAGTACATGGATAAGGTGGGCGAGAAGCGCCCGGCACCCTCGAAGAATGGGAATGGTGCTGCCCCGAAGAAAAATAAAACCAAGAAGTAGGCTGATTTTCCACTTTGATGGGTTTGCAACAGTGCGGGTGATCCTGCACTTTGGGAAGGATGTTTAGTGTGCAGAACGGGCATGACAAGGGGTTAGACCCGGCTGCGGCGATGCGGCCACGCCTCTTCGAATGTAGCTGTCAAAGCTGTGCCTCAGCTGACAATGTTCCCTTCGCGAATCCAAGCCTGTACCCGACCTCAACTGCCTAAACTAGGTATCTCTAAAACACGCTCCGCCCCCAACCCAGCCTATATTATAGTAAACAAGATCGGCTATTCAACTTGATGTCAGTGCCGGACTGCACACGAACTCCCAAGTCACATTGACATGTGTGTGACAATTCGAATTTCCAAACTTGTTCCGATCCGGGACTCAGTGCTTTGTGGTTTAGCCACAAGCTGTCCATGCTGAGCAGTGATATGCTTCTGAGTGGGGTAAATGCTCTCTGCCAACTGTGATGTTTCCTTGCGTCCGCATTTATATCACGTCGATGGAGAGTACGCTAAAACAACCTGGGCCAGGTCCTAAAGCTGGGTTCGCTGCTCGTGGCTTCGCTGCCGAGATCGGTGAAGGGGCCTGGACCTTGGAACGACCCGCATTCTATCGAGGTCTTGAAAAGCATGAAGGTATGTGCCGAAGGTTTTTCGGCCCCAACTTAGTTGTCAGCTGGGGTTGACTCGATGTAGGGGCCTGTCGTTGCTGGCCATGAGCATTGAATCTGCGGAGGATGAATTGCTGGAGCTACTGACTTGTCATCGATCCGTTCCTATATATGGCATGTCAAGCATTCAGGTCTGAAACTGTGCAGTCAAGTGTTTGCTGGTGCACCGTATTTGTTTGCTTTTCTGACTTTGTCGATAATTAAGCAGCGCGTGTGCAGCTGAGGTTTCCGATGGCCCGTTTCCCTGGAGCAAACCTCTTGATAACCGTACCGATGGCACTGGGGCACCTTCGGCTTCCTCCTCACGACCCCAGCTTGATGAAGATCCCGGAACCACAATAAGACACGTTCATCCTGATTGTTTAGTTGACAATCCCCGAGTCATGGAAATCACTCAGCGGCTGATGTCTGAGATCCGTGCTCAAAAGCTTCCGCTGCTTTTCCGCCTGCCACGCAAAGGTCTTATTGCGGGGTCTGTTTTACAACATTGCATCCGTGTTGTGGACGAATACTTTAAACAGCTGGAGCCTGTGGTGTTCAAGTTCGGCTTCACCCATAACCCGATATGGCGCTGGACGAATGCTCTGTATGGCTATTGCCAGGACAAGGATATTTGGGCCCAGATGGTTATACTGCACGTGTCCCACGAGGCCTTCGGGCCTGCAATGCTTGAAGCAGCATTAATCAATCAGTACCAATGCAACTCGCAGGCGATGATGGGATTTAAGGGTTTAGGGTAAGTTCCGTGGGAGACACACAGAGAGAGAGAGAGAGAGAGAGAGAGAGAGAGAGAGAA